CTTAATCATTGCCAATTTAAAGAATTTTTAGTTGAAATGGAGAGTACACAGATCTTCTGCTGCATAACAAGGTACGTTGGTTATAAAGAGGAAACGTTTTGAAATGTTTCGCTTCCTTATTAACAGAAATTAAAGCATTTCTCCTTGAGAAGGGTGTTCACTATCCAGAATGAACCATCAGTGGATCCAAAAATTTTATTTCATGGTAGACATTACGTCTCATCTAAATCAGCTTAATTGTAAACTACAGGGGAAAAGAAACACAGTTTTTTCGATGTTAGAAGAAGTTATTTCATTCGAAAACAAATTATCTCTTTTTGCTCAAGATTTTGAAAGAGAAACTTTGATTCACTTTCCAAGCCTGTTGAAACATCGCCAAGAAAATAATTCTGATATTGACATTTGCTATTTCAAAACAACACTTTTAAATATGAGGGAAGCTTTTCTCAACAGGTCTCAGGAATTAAGAAACAGCAAAGTGACGTTAGCCTTTGTTAAAAAACCTCTCAATGCTACTGTAACAGAATTAAGATTTTCTCCCTTTAATATTGACATTGGCAACTTTGAAATGCAATTGCTGGATTTAAAAAACAAAGAACTGTGGAGCTCGAAATTTGAACGTCTTTGTGCTGATATAGAAATATTGGAGAAAAACAAATGTGAACTTAGTTCACAGCACAAGTGGTCTGCTTTGAAAGACCTGGAGAAGGAAGATATGTTGATTTTTTAACACCTGGAATAGTATTCCTGACTCATATGATCAACTGAAAAAACTAGCATTTGCTGTTCTTTCCTTATTCGGGTCTACATATTTATGCGAACAATCATTTTCAAGCATGAACGTTATCAAGAGTAAATTGAGAAGTCGTCTTATTTTTTTTAAAATATATTTTATTGATTTTTCACAGAGAGGAAGGGAGAGAGATAGAGAGTTAGAAACATCGATCAGCTGCCTCCTGCACATCTCCTACTGGGGATATGCCCACAACCAAGGTACATGCCCTTGACCGGAATCGAACCTGGGACCTTTCAGTCCGCAGGCCGACGCTCTATCCACTGAGCCAAACCGGTTTCAGCAGAGAGAAGTCGTCTTATTGATGAGAACCTGGAATCGTGCCTAAAATTAAAAACAACAACATGCAAACCTGACTTACCCAAACTTTCCAAGGAGATGCAAGGCCATTGTTCATATTAGTGTTTGTCAGTCATTGTCATGATTTAATTTTATGGATATTGTAAGGTAAATTGTAAGGAATTTAATTTTATCAATAAATAATATCGTTATTAAGTATGATATCAAGTTTTATTCAACGTACCTATAGTTTAACTAAGACTTAAAACTTTAAGTAATGTTTATTAAGTTAATTTTAGGGAACATTGTGGAGTGAAAGAAGATGTAGAGTCGAGGATTGAGAAAGGTATGTTGAGATGGTTTGGACATATAGAGAGGATGAACAAAAGGAGATAGACGAAACAAGTATACAAGACGAGTGTGGATGGGAGAGTTGGAAGGGGTCGACCTCAGCGAACATACCTCAATCAGATTGAGGACATTTATAGCAAAGGCCAGCTTAGGAGTACCCTAATTAAGTTAATAACAATGTACCTACCTATATAGTTTAAGTTTAAAAAATTTGGCTCTCGAAAGAAATTTCAATCGTTGTACTGTTGATATTTGGCTCTGTTGACTAATGAGTTTGCCGACCATTGGCCCACCCTATATATATGTGTGTGTATATGCATATGTATATATATATACACACATATATATACATATATATATACATATATATGTATGTGTATATGTATATGTGTATGTATATGTATATCACACATACACACAGTGACAAATGCAGTTGATTGAATGTTTCAATGCCATCCTCTGTCCCTTGTGGAATGGAAACTAGCAGACTGCTGACACTTCCTTTGAAGGCTCTTCTGCTTGCATTTGAGATGACTTCTTGAAACAAGTGATGAGAACATGTGGGGAAACAAAGTGGATCAAATAGTCTGGTGTTGAGGACTAGGTGCTGACTAGAGATCTCAGGAGTTGAGGGCCCGAGGCATTATCTGAAGAGATCCAGGTACCCTTTGCTGTTTCTTTGATGTCCCCTCAGCCATCCTGCCAAGTTGTGCATTTATAACTGGGAAATGGGCTGTATCTCTCATAGACAGTGTACCCATCATGGAAGCAGCCCTTGCAAAACCTGGGGACCTAGAGTCCTGAGGGTTAACAAAAGAATAATCCAGAAACCCCTGGGGCCTATGGAGACATAAAAAGCTTTGGATAGCTTCTCAATAGATCCACACAGAAAGCTGCAGCCACCAAGATGAGTCCAGTGAATGTGCCCGAAGCGATGGTGCTTCAATGCCTAGCCTTATATTCTAAAGGTTCTGCAAAATGTAGTTCCATGACCTAAGGCTCCATAAAGCATTTTACTGTTGAAACTTCCAAACTCACCAGAGGTACTCCGCGGGCTGTGAATGATGTGCAGACGTGTAAGACAATGGAGAAAGGCAAGATCAGAGAGAGGAACTCCTCTCCCTAGAGCTTGTGCTGTAGGGTGGATTGATGGTGGGTTTCCTCGTCTACGTAAGTTGGGAGTAATTAACGAGTAAGAAGATCTTACTATAATTTTACCCTCTGGGACCTAGAATTTTTTTCTTACATTACTGCATTTTTCTTACATTACTGTCATCTTCTGTTGGGGTGGCTCTACATGTATGTGTGCGCGCGCAGGGGAGAAGGATGTAAGCGAAACTACTCACTGGTTACCCTCTTCTCTCTGTTTGAACTCAAAACTTAGTGCACTTTGCTAACCCCCAGGATGGTTTGGATCTTGCACCCAACTGCGTTGTGGTTCACATATTTCTCAATTTAACATCTCTCTTCCGTTAGCCACTCCGTAGCTATATAAATGCCTAATGCATGTGATGGCTTATGTTATGGAGATAATAAATATTTTCTTTTTTTCTCTTTGTCTCACCTTTCCTTCCTCTGCCATTACCTCAGATTGCAACATTATTAGTGGTAATTCTGTAATTTTTGTCTCTTGGTTTTAAATTAATTGCATTTTCATGAGTCCTGGGGATTGACTTCAACTTTTCCTCACTCCTTTATAAACCTATTGTCAAATTGACTTGAAAACATGACTTATTCACTTTATTTCAGAGTCCTGACTCAGTACTAAATACAGGTTATACAATAATATGTCCAGTATGATCCCACTTTTGCCTGCATATTACGAGTGTGCGCATGTGTGCATGCACACACACACAGACACACACACACACTTCTATGCATGTGCAGAAAAATACTCCAGATGGATATGTTTTCAAGTGTAATCTTTACCCTAAAAATGGGACTCTCAGTGATTCTGTTTCTTCTTTTTGTTCATATATATTCTCTATTTTTCAACAATATGCATCTGTTGCTTGCGTAATTAAAAAATACTTTAAAAAGTCATTCTCAAGCTTTCTGTGTAATATCAGTGCAAGATCTGATATCCACCCACTGGTGTTGTTAATGGTAATTTATTTAAATGGCTTATTTGAAATGGCACTTATTTTTGGAAGATGTTGGGACAACTGAGTCAGCCATCATATTTTAGGAAATAAGATGAGCAAGAAACCCCAAAGGAACAGGTGAAGCTTTGCTGGGCAGAGGTCTGTCTCCTACCGAAAGGTTTTTGGGTCAAGATATATGTATGTGCATGAGCTCAGCTGGAACTTTCCTGACCTGCAGAGGGGCTGAATTTAGCAGTGAGCTAAGGCTCCTGGTCACTTAGTGAGTCACCCAGCAGAGAACGGCTGGGATACATACCCTAGGGCTTTGTAGACTGAGGAGTCCTGGGAGCACACCGTGTTCCTAGAACACATTGGGCTTGCCTGTCTCCCAGTGACACCGTTACCAAGCACTTCCCAAAGCCACCACCAGCTGCTGTGTGGGCTCACTGCCCACAGCCTCCAGGCCCACAGCCATAATGGTCACAGCTCACGGGCAAACTCAATCTCAGTTAACAGAGGTCAATCACCTGGCTGGTGTGGCTCAATGGTTGAGCGTCCACCTATGAACCAGGAGGTTGCGACTGGATTCCCGGTCAGGGCATATGCCCGGGTTGTGGGCTCGATCCCCAGTGGAGGGTGTGCAGGAGGCAGCCGATCAATGATTCTCTCTCATCATTGATGTTTCTCTCTCCTTTCCCTTTCCTCTCTGAAGTAAAAGTATATTAAAAAGCAACATATCAATAACCAAAATTATGTACTCATGGGTCACTGTACACTTTTAAAGACCAAAGTGAGCTTTCCTGGGGGAAAGACTGTCTTACTGGATGGAACACATACCTTTCTTGTCATCCTGGGCACAGCCAGGTGCCGCTGGGAGTGGTGGCTGTTGGTGATGGCAGAGCATGTGGATGGTGGAGTGGGAGGAGGTAGAGGACATAGTTGTTGAGCTGGGGGCGCACAGTGTGATCTGCAGTGTGTTTAGCACGGAGGTTTGGGAGAATTTTAAGACAGTCGAATTGGGAAAGTGCTTACACCTTCTTGTAATTAACTTCTCCTTGGGAAAAAATAGCTGATTATCAGGCAGAAACATTTTAATGTGCTGTTTTAGCTGAAGAGCAATTTTTAACCAAAGTGTATTAAACAAGCAAGTTTCGGTGGTGGGTTTAAAAAATTTTCTCTCACCCAGGTTGGTGTTGCTCAGTGGTTATATTGTTGGTCTGTGGACTGAAGGATCTTGGGTTTGATCTCTCTCTCTCTCTCTCTTGTTTTTTCCCTTCCCCTCCCCCCTCCCTTATACTCTCTAAAAATCAATGGGAAAAATTTCCTTGGGGGAGGATAAAAAAAAACATTTCTTCTCTGAGCTGAGGCAGATACATTTTTCCTTCCATTGGTATGTCTAGAGAACACAGAGCAAATGCATTTTCTCTCAGCTTATCTAACAGATTGGATAAAATACACAATTCCCTTAAGGATAAATGTCAAGAAGACTGAAGTATACTTCCAAGCAAAATTTATTAGATGTCTATTCAAGAAAAACACAATGACCTTTGCTTGTAAGAATTCAAAGTCAATGACCGGAAAGCCAAGTAGGAATATTTTTTTTCCTTTCAAAATCAGGTACAGAGAGTAGAAACAGTAATTTTTCTTAAATATGACAGGCAACAGATATTGAAGTCTTTTCTCATAAATGGCATGGAAGATAATTATTCATTTATCGGCAAAGCTGCATGCAGTTGACCTAATTTCAAACCCAAGGCCTTTAAAATATAAAGCTGGTTGTGAACTTGACAGTAATCAAGGTCGGCTACTCAAAGGTGTTTCTTTACCTTCTTCCTATTGAAACCCCTCTGTACTGGATACTTATATACATTTCAGTTTGGCTGCTAAGATCTTTTAAGCTCATAAACTTTTGCATAAATGCTATCTTATAGAATCACACTATCGAGGCGTGCTTATGATCTGTGGGCTATACAAAGAATCATCTTTAGCTTAGTTTAAGTGAAGGATAAAGACCAAGTTAGGAAATTCCCTTGTTTTCGCAACAACTAAATAGTCTGTACAAAAAAAAAAAGGAGCAACCATATGTACAAAATTCTAGAGTCTACTTACATTGTGAAAAGATCAGTCACTGTCCACAGAAGAAATGCCATAAAAAGTTTTCTCTATAAGGTGCTCAAGATCCAAATATGAATAGTTCTTATGCAAAGTCATAAGAAATACAAAGCTAGTTCTCAGGAGGTGTGTAATTCAGGCACTGTTCGCCACATTAAATCTTCCAGGTCCCAATATCGTTTTGTAAATTTCTACCTCAGGGCAGAAAACAGAACCTGGGTGAGTTAACATTGCCTCTAAAAAGTGCCTGATGGATTTTGAGGAAGTATTTTATACACACCAGAAAATCAGGCTCAACATATTCCTGTCCTCAAATGAAGCCAGGATTCTGAGTTCCATAGGAAAAAAATAATTATTATAGTAAAAATAATTGTATTGATCATAATCCTTGCTAAGACCAGCCTTCATACCTGTGATACTTCTAAAGTTTTCTATTTCTATAAAATAATGCGTGGGGTTCTTTTACATTTCCATAAAATGTATGACATATCATGTGGATTGCCTGTTCTCATACAATCGCAAATGGCTATGTGCACACCCAGTGAGATCCTACCTAGGAATATTGCTTACGGATACTTTCAAGTGTCTATGTTAGAATAACTCTTTGCACCTCTCACTAACACTGCTTTCATTTAAATTTTGTCAGATAAATAAACACTAAGGGCTCATTGTTTATGATGCTGATTATTACATTTTAATATAAAATAGCAACGCAACTTTACAACACAATATTTTTTTTTGTAGTCTAGCTAAATCTCTTATATTCTCATGATTACTACCCAAAGCTCTTATTCACTTACTGTTTGCACTTCTAAAAAGTACAAAGGAATCGCAGGGCAAGACTGCTATTTGAAAACCCACATTCAATCCACAAAAATCACACTCATCCGAATGAACGCTCCTACGCTTGCTTTAGCTTGTGTAACAATCACTGTGCATATTACAACATGTAAGTGCAGGCGAATAATAGCTGAAGTAGGTTGTCATGTTGTGTAAACGAGGGCTCTAGGCAAACTCGTGAAAGGAAAACAGACTGCCAAGCTAAGAGTGTGGACACACACACCACGTATTTAGTGATAAACCATCTTCTGGTCACCTGTGGGGGGAGGGGAGGCATCCTCAAAGTGGACCAGGGAGCCTCCTCAAGACACTTTTCAATTTTTTTTGCCTCCAATATTTACCCCTTTGTAAGTAGGGTGACTTTCTTTCTGATCCTAACGTACAGACTTCCAGGTTAGAGCAGAAAGCAGGGGTATGCACTTTCACACGGAACAAGCCTGCCAACCCCCCAAGGCTCCGGCGGTTACTCTGCTGGTGGTTGGGCGGCAGGTGGAGGTGGGGATGGTGGTGACTTCTATGGGAAACATAAGGCATGAGAGCGGGAGGCCTGCAGGGGTCTTTCGGGCAAGGTTCTGAGACGCAGCATACGCAGGAGGGAGGGTGCTTCACAGCCTCTTGACATAGTTTCCGGGGAAAGTACCAAAGAATTTGGTTCTTCTTGAGGTTCCTGCAAAGAGAAGCAACCCATGAAAGGGGGGTAATATAACATGAACTAGCAGTTCGTACATGTGGGCCTGGGACTCTGCGTTCCCGAGGCTTCCCTATGTGAGCAAGGCCTGCAGGGTTTGCAGAAGCAGGAAACTCACTGGGGGACGTGAGCAAGGTAGTCAGGTGAAGAAGAGACAAAGACTAGGAGGATGGCCTGTGCGCTGGTGTCTGATACTCTTGTCCACAAATGTTCCCCCAGAAGACGTCTAGTCTTCTCTGAAGATGTGAGAATGAGACTGTCTTTCCAGTGGTCAGAATGGAACGTCTGTCTCCCTCCTTCCTCCACAAATGAAGGCTAAGGAAGCCCTGGCCTCTTAGGGTAACGACAGCGGCCCTAGACGGGGGTGAGCGACCTTGTTCTCTCACACTGACCCTCACGGCTGACAACTGACGCTCTCCACGGAACAGAGTATTAGTACTTCTCATCTAGGGACCATTTTTGTCTTGTTTTTCTTCTTACATCTCAGTCTTTCCTGGTTGGTGCTCTTTAAAGAAATTTTCTTCTCCCAGGTGAACCAGAAATAAAGCCAACAGAAAACCACATCTACCTGGAGCAGTCAATGCTCAACTCTATTAAAAAGGCAGTTGCCTTGGGATGACATACGAATGTATGGAAGATCAAAGGCTTTGTGAACTCAAAGAAAGCCTGACCACCCATGCAGGGAGCAAACACAAGCACGTTAAACGTGGGCAAATGTGTCTGCAAGGAACTGTCCACGTACCCACAAACCATCCATCATCACATTTTTCCATCACGTCGATGACGTCGCTTTCTCTGAGCTCCAGCTCGTCTTCATTCCTAGGAGTATAGTTATACAGAGCCTGAAACCTTAAACAGGACAGATGCATGGGTTTAAAACAAAATTCACACCTCTGTGAAACTATAGAAGATACACAACATTAATATTGCTTTTAGCATTTCTATTATTATAATTATAAAGACCTATTAACATAAGTCTTTGGTAAGCTTGTAAATAGAACTAGGTAGACTCTCGTGGAAATTAAATCACTCAGTATTTCAAAACTCGCAATGAGGAATATTCATGGAAGATGATAACATCCATGAGTTGGTTTCAAACATTTTAACATTTATAAGCCAGAGCCACATTTCAATTGGCCAGTCATAGATGTCTAGCATTCAGACGTTAAACAATAGAACAGAATATAAAAAAAGTGCCGTGTGTACTTATTCAGCTATATGAAAACAAGGAATTACAGTTTTAGCTATCTATAAGCAGAAGTAATTAATTGCAGTTTGCAAGTTGAATTTTCGAAGGATTCTAAATTGAGATGTGCAACATATCTCAGACATATATCTTCTAAATCACTGAGTGGGAATTACTAAAAAAGAGTTTTTTGTTTTTTCACTAAAAGAATTTTTTAAAAATGGTTTGGTTTCATAGTTTGAATCCGTGTTTTCTCAGATTTAGAATTTGAAAATCTGATGTTGTCCACCTATGAAATGAAATGGATGTATTCTATGCTCAATGATCAATTGAGCTAATATCAAAGAGTAGGGGTATTATGGGCATAAGTTCCTTTTTAAAAGGTTCTGGAGAAATTGTGTTTGATGTAAAAACTCTCTTGAAAAAATTTTACATAAAAAATGACTTATCAGTAATGCTACCCACTTTCCTTTCTCTGTCTGAATTCTTTGAGAGCATATATTTTGGTGACATTGATCAGTAACAAATTCAGCCATTGAATTTTTGGTAATCAAGTCGCTTGTATTTTAACGCATATTAACATGGACTGGCATTTTGAAAGGTGAAGACACAAATTCCAGCAGCTGAGGTCAGGCAGCATTGGATGTGCAGTTAAGACAAAGACGTCCCAGTGCTTCTAAAATATTATCAGTATTGGGAGGGGGATTAAAAAAAATCAGTGAACTGGTTTCTGCTGTTTTCATAACAGTTGTGCAAATCTGCCAATGTAAGAATAGAAGAACCACATTTCAGGGCATTTTGGGTTTTTTAAAGCCAACTTTGCAAAGCTGATGATATGGAACACTGCTCAGGAATAAGGATGGTGTATTTCTCATGTCTTCATTCAGTCGGAAAATCACATTTAGGTGGAACAAAACTATTCTGTCACGTGGACTCAAACATCATGTCATAAATCAGGGACAGGGCTCCCTGGCTTCCTCTCCGTCCATGCACTTGTTTGGGTGGGGGGACTGATGAAGTTGGCATCGGTGGGGAGTGTCTGAGAAAGGGTGGGCAAGGTGTGGTGCCTAACACCTTCTCCTAGAAAACCTCCTCCCTGGCCTGGCCCGAAGCCTGAGCTTCCGGCACTGGAGATGCCTTCCCCTGTCAGTACTTGGTCCTCCTAGTACACCTTGTCAGCGGCTTGTACTTGTGGGGATGGCTCCTGAGGTCCTCTGTTGAGAGGGGATTGGATTATGGGGAAGGGCAGGGGAAAGCAGCCAGAGTCTGAGAACAGTGGCAACAAGGCAGGGAGGTGTCGAATACTGACATTACTTCATTTGGATGCTTGCTCGGGTCAGCCCTGATTTTGTGTTTGCTTTAAGGATTTCACTTTGAGGCCCTTCAGATGAACGGATGCTATGTTTTGTATATCCATGGGGCAAGGTGATGGCAAAATAGCTCCTTCTCCAAATTCACACGAGTGAGATAGTCATTCATCGCCCTGCTGCTAATTCAATGGATGGACACCGTGTCTCTCCCTCTGGGAAACTGATTTTCTGATTGAGTTTTTCAGGCTCAGCCCTCACCCAGGCACATCTCCAACCACGTAGGGAGACAGGCCTATTTAAGGCCACAAACCCCAGCTGCTTGAAGAATCTCAAGGTCCCAAGAGCTAAAATAAAATTGGCACGAACTCCTACTTCACTTGGGTGAGACGAAAGCCAGCGTGCTTGTCAAAATTTACTTACCATTCTGGTTTAGTTAGACCACAGAAGGCAGGGAGGGGTGAGGGGGGTTGAAGGGAAACATAAACTTTTCAGAAATCCTCCTGCCTCATTGGCTTTCAAAATCAGTGTTGCACAACAGGAAATGCAGTCGAATAACAATGGAAAATGCTGTTGTGAAAGATGTGTTGGTGAGATGAATGATGGTGGTGGGTTAGGATGCCTCAAAAAGACCTTTGTCTTTTAAATAGGAAACCCTCAGCCAAACTTAAGTTCTCTAACTTGCAACTTTTTCTATAAGGTATTTCACCACAATTCTGAATTTAGAGACATAAAGCATTGTGTCACTATTTTTTTTTAAATGAAAGGGATTAAGCGACACCCTATTATCCTACTAATTGGGTTTGTAATCCAATAGAGATTTCATAAAGAATATTTTATAATGCCTACGGCAGGACTTCGAAAATGTGCCATCTTCCACCTGTGAGCACAGTAGTTTCATAAACAATCAAATGACCACACTGAATTGTTAACTCCACGTTACTTAACCCAGTGCAACGTAACATACCTATTACTTCATAAAGTCCTTAAAAGCTGCTGCTATAATCTGTTAGTAATGCAATGAACCTAAACAGCCCTGACCTTTATTTTTGTGTGACGTGATCCTATTGTTGTTTGAGAAAAAAAACAAAAACAAAACTGAAACTTTAGAATGAAAGGCCATATTTAAACTTTTTCCAGTTAATGAATTTTTGAATGATTCTTATTTCCAACCTGTTCTTTTCATTGTCTTTTCCTTAGCAAGACCTTCTGGTAGTGCTGGGGGACAGCAGCCTCAGGTGAGAGATGGTTTCTGAAGCGCATGCTTTTGGCTAAGTGTCAGATCTGCGAGGAGTGAAGGGGATGCATGGCCCTAGAGGACTTGCTCTGTCCCAGTGAGCAGGGCATGGGCAGTGGGCTGGGGGCTCACCTGTGCTCAGATAGGCTGACGTGTCTCCTTCCAGGGTCAGCTCCTGACTCACAGAATAGGTGGGAGCCAATAGGAGGCATGTCGCCTCTGAGTATCTCTCACGGGCAAAAATGGAGCAGGAGAGACACACAATATTTGGGTCTTAAAGACAGTGCCTGACACCTTCGGGTTGACCTGACTACATATCAGCAGGGAGAGGGAATTTGAAAGTGTAAAAAGGCATGTGACTGAATGACAGTGCATTTTAAATACTGCCATTTCCAAAGACCCTTCTCAGAGCGTAACTTTGGAATTACGTCCCTAATTTATCACCTTAGGTCTCCTGTTACATTTTCCTTCTCCCTAAATAATGTGCAAAAACAACGTTGGGATGTTTTCTGTGCCGTTAAAGCTGTAGTTACTAGGATCTACGTGGCGAGTGAACTGAGAGGAGACAGATTCACAATCTTAGGAATCACTGCAGCTTTGGGAGTGATTGGATCAGTCTTCTCTGCAGATCCCGGGTTTCTTTTTAAAATTAGCTCTTTCTGTTATGAAGATGGAGACCATGGCAACCTCTCTTCCTCTAGGAGGCCTCCGGTTGCATAGTGGGGCCTTCCTCTACTTGGGTACATCACTCATCCATGTTGTGGGTCAAGGTTAGTCTTGAATTTAGAAGAGAAGAAGAATACTTACGGTTCCCCCCCACCTTGAATGTTTTCATGAGTAAACACAGGACGCTGTGGCTGAAATGAAATGATTTGCAATGTAATCAATGTTTACACTGATACTAAGTAAGAGATAATTTGGATAATGGCATGGTACTTTTCTTAACATTTAATATATCCTGCTGTAAAAAACCAAGAGGAAGAAAAGAATACAACCACATAAAGGGTTTCTGCAGGATTAAGCACTAAAATATTTTGGAGGGTGCTTTCAATGACTTCAAAATAACCAAGGTTCGAATGCTTTGAACATATCCACAATCCAGTCTGCTCAAGTTTTAAGGAAAAGTCAGGGCTCTGTCCCATTGATTTTTCAAAGGCCAGGAACATGGCAAGAACATAGACACCAAACTACTGAATGGGAAGTCTGGACACCCTCATACAGCCTCGCTCCTCAGCGTTTTCTCAAGCAAGCAGAAAAGAAACCACATTGAGTCCGACAGCAAAGTATCCACACTCATTCTAATATGCTTTTCCCCCACAGACAACATTTCCACATACAGTACAGATGAAAATATCGATAGGCGGACATCCCATGCTACATTTGAATTAACATTCTCTGTTCTCAGTGTGGAGAAACACATGCATTTTTAAAGAGAAAACAGAGAACTTTAAATAGAATGCAACAAACAATAATCCAGGTAACATGTAGCATTTTACCTTAGAAGAGAAATATTGGTGGGAATTCCCAGTGCACTGAACTCTCAAAAGAGTTTCCTTTCTTTTTATACTAAGCATCAAGACCAGTATCTGTAATAGATACTTATAATATTGGAAATGACAAAACCTTAGCATATCCACATAAAGACTGCAATGAATGAAAGTTAACACGTCGGTTGAATATCTAAACTCAATGTTGTTTATACTGACTACCTAAATGTTACCTTTTAGGGGAAAATTACTGTAATATTCGCAACACATTTCAAAAGCATTCTCTTCCAAATGATGGCTACATGGTGAAATGAAGTAAATCAGAGTTTGCATAGCAATGATCAAAGTGACTGCTTGGTGATTACTGAATTAGATATTAGATTGATCCAGGTCCGTAGACATCAGGGCGAAGGCCGATTCCTGGATTCCAGAGTTATGAGTAGATTCAGGCTGGCTAACTTTCCCCTGCAAATTATCCATAGAAACCCCACTGGTCCAAGATTGGATGGGGAACTCTGGGGTTCCTTTTAGTCTATGAGTCTTAATTTTCTCCCTTCCTAAATTCTTTATCCACTCTCTTTCCATCTAAGCTGTCTAGCATAGAAGACTAGGTACTTAGTATACTACTAAAATTTTAAGCTTTGACTGTAGTAATTGGAAGTGTTTGTTAACAGTATTCTTAGAAATGTCACTCAACAGTCTGCATAGATTTAAGACTAAAGAATGGCTAAAAATGATTAGGCACATGTATGGCTTAAGAGTGTAGAATACTTTACCCTTATAAATCAATATAAAATTACTAACAATATATCTATTATTAAAATTATAAAATATACTATTTTATAAATGATAAAGACTAAGCTGTTTTTCAGCCATTTTAAGATCATTTAATTTAATACATTAAATCAATTAAAATATATGAAAGGAGGTAAATATGTTATTTATAAGCCTATATGCTATTACGTTTCTTCAATTTCTTGTCCAATCACACACACAAACACACACTCGGGTCATCCCCCAAAATGTATATGCACTTTAACAGCTGATAGCTCCATTTTGAAAATGAAATGTATTTTAATAAACACTGCCTTTATAATTACTCAAAATGTGTGTATACATTTTTGGGAGACACTATATATATAATTTTTTACATTTTCTTTTGATTGTTGACACTATTACAGATGCCCCCATCCCCCATTTGCCCACCTCTACCCAGCCCCTGCCCTCTTCCCTAACTTTTAATGCAGAAATAAGGTATATTTATATATTATATACATATATATTAATTGCAATCAATATTTTGTAATAATTTTCCAGTACACATTTTAGTTCTCTTAACCATTTTGGTCTTTTTTGTTCTGAAGTTAAGATTGTTCTAGCCTTTTTTTCATTGTCATAAGTAACAATGCTATGAACATTTTATACAAAGAACTATTTTCTTCTTTTGAACCATTCCTGAGAAATCATTTCCAGGAGTAAAATTTCTGGCCAAAGATTATACATTCAAGCCACAGGCTATTGAAACTGCTCACGTCGGTCACTCAAACGTACTGTATATACACATGTAACTTAAAAAAATCTAAACTACCATATTTAAAATCACACATCAAGACAGGTACTGTTTTCTCAGAAATAGTCATAGCACCATTCCAGTGCACAACAAAGTTATAAACAATAAATATTATCTGATCTTGCCTGAAGAGAACATGTTTTGTAAAATATATTTCACTGTGCTCTAAAAATGGTGTGCCTATTTTCAAATACTTAAATCATCCTGATACTTTTAAGTTGAGTAAAAAGTTGTGGCATCTGGGGCTTGGTAAAAGCAAATGTGAATACAACTGATATAATACTTTGAAAATCAGTATAGCACCTTGTTATTATTGTCATTACAGTTTTACTGGTTTAATTCCACTCAACTTACCTCATAAATCATTGAACTGAATCATCCCTTTGACAATGATAAAAATTGGGCTATTACCAGAGGTCATGGCCCCCTGATTCCACAGGCCCCTGAGTCTCAAGCACTGTGTTCCTGGATTGCTGGCCAGTAGCGTCTTTGCTTTCACCCATCTTCCCCACTGTGTCTATTCCTTCACATCCTTCCAAAGGATCCTCCATTACTCCCCCTTCCCCTGAATCACCAGTTTCCTATACGTTCACATTCTCAGGCCAGGATTTAGCATAGCTTTTATTAGCATAGATGTCATGTACCTACTGTAATGGCGAGTTTTAGAACTTCCCTAAGGTCCCCTTTAAGAGGAATCATTTCCATGTGAATGTGTATGACTGCGAACCAGTGTTGAGGAAAGATGACCATTACAGTCTTTGAATTCATTTATTTTACTAGTAAAAGTATTTGGTCACTAGAGGAATACGTAGCATTAATAGACACATTTATGCCTTTCTGGTGTTGGCATTGACTATGTAACCTTGGGTATGCACCTTAGGTGCCTGATCTCTAAAATCAAGAAGTTGGACGAGGTAAGGATTAAGAGCTTGCTTGTCCCCCTCAGGGAATCCATAAAGGAATCCACATTTCACAGACATATTTTCTGTGTTATGTATAGGTGCCATCATCGACCTTACTCATTCAGTTGTCAGAGAGCTGCGACAAGGGACATTCACTGGATAATTCTCAAGTGTCTCCGTCATGTAAAAACAGTAATAGTAATGATTCTACTTCATTTTTGCAGATCAGTGAGCCAAAACCAAAGATGATTTCTTAATAGCACAAATAAGTAAAAAACAATAACAGAATTACAATTTGGGCTCTTACTCTTTATTGCATAAAATATTACTGTGAGGGAATAGATGGCCTAAGTTGGTCAAAATCAGCCCTAACCCTAACCCTAACCCTAACCCTAACCCTAACCCTAACCCTATTTATTTTTGCCTTTAGGCAGCTGTTTATGCTCTGTGTGGATACTCAAGCGAATTCTCTTAGGGGACTATCTTTTGCAGTTCCTCCTCTTGGTGTTACATGGTCATAAACCTAGAGGAAGAGCTCTGTACTGTAGCTGCACTCTATTGCCACCTAATGGTGAGTAGTGGCAGCAACATGTAAGAGTTGTTCATGCCTTTACTCAGTTCTCACTGAGTTCCTTTAACCTGGATTCATTTTGGAAGAATATTTTAAAGACCACAGAGCAATGTGAATCAATATTCATCTGTTTTTCCGACCATGATTTTCCCTTCCCACGTTTTAAATTCTTGAGAAAGGATCACGCTGGCCACCAGAATTTTTGGTCTATGATAATTTCTATTTTAACCATCTACCCAGGCATTTCTATTATTCATGACTTCTTAGCCGTTTTGCGACAAATACAGAACAGTATACATTTGTGCCATCCAGAAAGGCTCACGTGAACTGTGAACATATGAATGTGGTTTTCAAGCTAACAGATTACAGACACCGTGCTGGAAATGTTGGGTGAGAATTACATATATCATGCTTGCGTTATCTTGATGAGTCTTAGGGGGATGATACAAATGGAGAGCCCAATGGGGCATCATGCTGTAAGCCTGAATATTTAACCCTTTCCTGGGCAATGTAACAATTATTTTTTATCTTTTAGTGTAGCTATTTTTAATGTCAAATGTCAAATATGGGCACACTCGAGACAGGTTTTAAGCACCTGCTAATTTTCAAAGCCAGAACCAAGTCACAAACCACTGCTCATATACGGAGCTGCTTTGAAATATCCCACAATCTCTGGTATCAGTAAAACATATACTTCCCTAGCTCGGTCTGCCTGACACCCACCTATTTATCTGTGCTGCTGCAGAGGCGTCTCTGGAAGATCACCTATAACTAGTTGTAGGAAATTCTTAAATAAGGAGTCACTGCTACTTTAAACACTAAAGTGTGGAAAAATCTTTGAAAGAGTTAGCAGCAGTTCTAGAGTTCTTAAGTCAATTTCCCCCCCAGAAAATGTCACTTGTAGTACCTGCCAACCAGAATTGGATGAACATCTCCTTTCAACAGTCTCATGTTTCTGCTTCTCGGCTTATTTTTCCTTCTTAAATTATGAAGTTAAATCAAACTTTTGCATAAATCTAAAGAATATGGAATATTCATGTTCCACAACAACACATATAACATACCTAATGTAAAAACCCGGCAAAGAAAAAAACCTTACGGTGACCCAAAGCATAGCATGTCACTGCCAGTGGGAAATTCGTGGCTGGCCATGTTAATTATGGAAAAGCTTTTTTTTTTTTTTTGCTTCTGGAGAAGGCCCTTCTGTGGAGTCTAAGAATCTCTTCAAATCAACATCCCTCCTCCTCTCCGGCCACACAAATCTCTGCCCCAGAAACAAAACGAGGTCTTTTTATGCAAAGACGCAAAAAGCACAATGATGGGATCA